TAGGATGGCTGGTTCACTTGGTAATTGTGTGTTCAACTTTTAAAGTCCTGCTAACCTGTTTTCCTGTACCATTTTACATCCCCAGCAGCCATGGACATGTGTACCTATTTCTCTCCAACCTCCCTTATACCTCCTGTTTTCTATCTTTATCTCTCTCTCACACACACCCCCACATACCCCTTTGACATTCGAATGAGGAGTGCCATGGTATCTTCTTGTGCTTTTGATCTGCATAGTCTCTCTTTTAACAAATACCTTAGGGTTCAGCCATGACATCATGCACAGGTCGCAGGAAATGACCAGCATTAAAAGTAGAGTAGCTCTTTCTTTAGAATCTTCATGATGACAAAGTTTAGGTTTTCAACTTAGCATAGTAGGAAAAGTTGCTTTCCAGTGTAAAAGCACTTGGGAAAGAAACAAGTGTTAAGTGTTAATTAATGTGTTAAGTAAAAAACTTCCATGAATTAGAAAAGCAGAGTCACCTTTGGGTTTATGGGGAAATTGTTTATCCAATGCTTTGTAACACTTTCAAGAATAGCAATTCATTTTTCTCACCTGTGTTAGAGGCTAACATCTCAAATCAAAGTCTTGCTAGGTGCCATCAAGTCAACTTCGATTCATGGCGACTCCGTGAACACCAGATCTGCACCTTGCCCTCGCCTTTGCCAACCTCCTGATCTCTGTCACGCTCAAGCCCACAGTGGGAATCACTGTGCCATCCATCTTATCAAGCGTCTTCCCTTTCTTTGTTGACCTTTGATTTTTTTTCTGCATGAGGTTTCTCTCCAAGAACTGGCTCCTCCTGAATATATATCTAAAGTGATACTAAGTTTCATTATCCTTGCCTTTGAAGAGCACTCTGGTTGCACTTTCTTTGAGACAGATTTGTTATTGTGGCAGTGCATAGGATAGGCCATACTCTTCACAAATGCTGTCATTCAAAGGCATTGATTCTTCCTCTGTCACTTTTATTCATTGTCCAACTTTCAGATGCATAGAAAGCAATTGAAAAGACCACAGTTTAGGTCAGGTGCCCCTTAGTCTTTAAACTGTCATCTTTGCTCTTTACATTTGTAGATAGATCCTTGACAGTACATTTCCTCAATGCAACAAGTCTTTTTTTTTTTGTCTTTTTTATTTTTAGTTCTGCTACCACAAGATTTCTTAGAGTTACTAGATTCACAGATGATCCTCATATGGCATCTGTCTTCCCCTACATGCCTGTCTTCATGTCTATTCTAGTATTTTATAATTCAGAAGGGATTAGGTTTAAGACCTGCTTAATACTGGTTTGATCTCATCAGTGTATTAAAAGGAAACTCCTTTTTTTAATAGGATTACATTTTGAAGTACACAGAGTAGGGATCCAACCCATCTTTAGGGGAGACACAGTTCAGTTCAGAATGGATGGATCATACTGGTGTCTATCCCTGTATGTTGGATAAATGATTCCCTCCACTTAACCTTAATTAAAAGCCACTAAAGGTTCAGAGAAGGTCAGTAACTTACCTGGGTCACACAGCACAGCTGTGGTCTCTCCCACTGCGGAAAATCCAGAACTAGGAGGAAAGGGGCACAGTTCCTACCAGCACTAGAAGGGAACAGTGGAATAATTCATATCTTCATCCCACAGATTCAAATGTGTCTTCTGTGGCTGGTTTTGTGCTGGTCATCGCTGTAGATGAAGAAAAAAATTTAACTCTAGGAGGCCCCCTATGAGGTGGATTGATTCAGTGACTGGGGTGACCGGGATGGGTATTTTGGAGACGGTGCGATTGGCACAGGACAGAGCAGAGTTTAGGGATGTTGTGCATAGGGTCGCTGAACGGCACGTAACAACAACAACAACAAGATCTTAATCTAGATTCTCAAATTGGGAATTTCCATGTTGACAAGAGAAAACAAAAATACAAGCATGATTACTTAAACAACTGGAATTTTACTGCCTCTCAAAATGGAAATGTTGTAGACTAATGTTTGGTCCCATAAGTCAACTCAGGACACATTTTTTAAAAAGCTCAGACTTTTCTGGTTTTAGCTTCTTTTCAATGTTTGTGGTTTCCACTTGGCTTCCATTTCTCTCCTGTTGTTGTTAGGTGCGTGGAGTAAACAGACGTGAGCCCTCCCCTCTCCTGTGCCATCCTTTTTAGCCACTTGAGCTCATTGTAGCAGTCACTACGTCAATGCTTCTGGTTGAGGGTCTTCCTTTCTTTTGCCAGCCCTCAACCTTTCCAAGCATGATGACCCTTTCCAAGGAATAGCCTCTCCTAGCAACATGCCTAAAATATGTGAGACAAAGCTTTATCATCTTTGCCTCCAAGGAGCACTTTGGCTGCACTTTTTTCAAGACATATTTGTTTGTTCTTTTGGCAGCCCATGGGGTATTCAGAACTATTCTCCAACATCACCAGCTCTAAGGCACCTATTATTCTGTCATCCTTATTTTTGTCCAGCTCCCAGATGCATAGCAAGTAATTCAAAAGACCATGGTCTAAAGCAGGTGCACCTAAGTCCACAAACTGACATCATTGCTCTTCACTAATTTGGAGAGGTCCCTGATTGCAGACTTTCCTAGTGCAATACATCTCCTGATCTCCTGACTGCTGGTACCAAGGGTGTTGATTATAGATCCAAGCAAGATGAAATTGTTGACAGCTTCAATTTGTTGGACTCTATGAAGAATGTGACATCTGCATCACCCAGATTGATGAGTCTTTCTCCAATCCTAACGACACATTCTTCTTCATAGAGTGCAACTTTTCACATAATTTGCTCAGCATTTCTTTCCTGTAGGCCTATTAATTGTTCTTTTAATTTTTATTAATTGTTTTTTAAAAGACAGACACAGAGAATAATAAAGGAAGAGACTAATGAAGACAGAGACAGAGATAAGAATGTGGAGACACAAAAATGACAACTGTAAACGTCTCCTCTGTAACCATGGAACAAAAATCCCAGACTTCCTCTGACTCAATCAATTTAAGGCACCTGGAACCAGTCACTATGTGTAGAAGGAAACACAACATGCTAATTAATAAGCCTGAATCAATCCCTACATTGAAGGGGATGGGCTTCTGCTCATTGGCTGCTCTGCATGTTGTCAGGCAACCAAATGACTACTCCATTCCATTTCTTTTTGTTTTTAACTTCTCTTTTTTTAGGTTTTTATTTTATTTTATTAGTTTTAATGAACATTTACGGAGATTTTGGATTTCCATTCATTTATTGTTGCACTTTTCTCCCTGTCCAGCGACCCCCTCCCCAGTTTGCTCCTCTCTTTGAAATGTAAAAGAAAAATTCTTTCATTGGTATACAATCCCCCTGCACCCCTCCCACTGCCCCGAGCACACTCCACTATGCAACCTTAATTCTGGACTCTTGTGATAACCATAATATCCTACCATATATCACTTTTAAATTGGATAATCTTCAGTAGAATCTTCCAAAAACGATTAGAACAGCATATCAGCAGAGAACT